CTGTTGAGGAAGATCTTCTGTAGGGAGTTGGAGATTTTCTAACTGAGTTGATGAAGTCCTTGGTTGATTGAGATCTTGTGGTTGACACAAAGATTTCATTTAAGCAGCTGCTGAAGCTGGAGTTGAAAAATCAACTCCAAATAGGTTAGTCATCATTTCATCTAAACTTGCAGCAAAAGAATGTCTTCCTTGCATTTATGGAGTTGGTGTGTGATATTGGGGAGGTGCATGTTGAGGAGGTTGAGGCTACTGATAGGAAGATGTAGAACTTGTACCAGTTTCATAAGTGGAACGAGTTTGTTGCCTGCCTCTTGGGTCTTGTAGTAGACGTGGGACAGATAGAAAAAGAATGGAATTGATACTATACCATTCCATATATTGTGCATTGTGTAACAATGGACTTGGAATTGGATGACCCATAATTGTGTGCTCATGTATGTTATTCCAATAATCAATCCATTGGGCGTGTCTTGTAACCCAGTTTTCGTCTTGTCGACCCCTCATATCAATTCGGTGCAGTTCAGACAAGTTGTTGGGTTCAGATGGGACCTCTTGAAACAAGCCAAACTGGAGTTTGACTTTATCAGCTTGATGTCATTCAACCATCATAAAGCATATGATAGCAGTGCATGACGTCCAGATGGCTGAATCCCGAAATGCTTCATTAGGAATTTCTTGTTGAAGCTGTTTATAGGGAACCCATATGAACTAAAAAAAAAAGGTTTAATATTACATATTATGACCATAATTGTGAAATTAAATAATCAACTGAGGAAGTAGCATATACCTGATGTGCTTGCATATGATCAAGCATTGATTTGTACCCCACAACATCATTGTGAGGTACATTACGGAAGTTCAAAACTCTTCCTGCGCTCCAATTGCATACCAATGGGTATGTTGGTGTGACACTTGAAATGGGCACAATGAATTACATTCGATGTCAAACCCATGATTGTAAGAGCGATGCACAACCATCCATTATTTTCGCCCTTCGATCTGTTGCTCTGCACATTTCCCTGTACAACTTGTCAAGCAAGCATATCTCTAGCTATATCTCCTGGTTCGTCTAAGGTTAGTAAAAAAAAGAAAAAAATATTAAATATACTTTGTTGCCTGTTTTATCAGACATTATTACACCACCAATTAATCCTAAGATATATGCCCTGCAATGGGCGTGAACTTCTTCGGATTGCTGGTCACCTAGCATTAGACAAAGAGTCTTTTGTTTATCCGCCAGAAACTCTATTTCTTGAACAACGTTTCATAACACAAAAGACACAAGTTGAAAATGTCATCAACCGCTTTCACATTATCAATCACTGCACATACAAGGTGAAAATTTCAAACCAAAGTATATATGTTGTTCAATGTGTTGATAATCAATACAACTGGAGATGCCAAGCAATATTGAGCGCAAGAGAGCAATATTGGAAGATTATGAAGTTTGAAGGGTACCATACATGCGTTTCGCCATTAATCAGCCAAGACCACAACAAGTTGGGATATAAAATGATTTCCCAAACAATTGGTCAAATAATTGATGTTGATCCGTCAACACTAATCTCCACAATCATAACTCACATCCAATTAACAACGGGTTACACTATAATGTATAGGAATGTCTGACTGGCCAAACAAAATGCAATGGAGGCCATTTACGGCAATTGAGAGGATTTGTATAAGAAGTTGTCTTGTTTCTTACAAGGCATGCAATAATTTGTTCTCAGATTCATCTACAAACTGCAATCACAACTAGCTTACCAAGATAAGGTCCTTCAACAAAATTCAAATATTTTTAAGCTTGTGTTTTGGACGTTTAGGCCATGCAAGATGGATTTGTTCACTACAAACTCATTGTTCAAGTGGACGAGAACTTTTCTGTATGGAAAGTATAGAGGGACCTTGTTGGTTACAGTAGCACAAGCTGACCGCAACAACATCCTCTTCATTCCGTTTGCAGTGGTTGAAGGTGAAACAAGTGATGCCTGGGTTTTTTTTCATAAGAAACCTCCAAAGATATGTCACACCCCAGCAAGGATTATGCCTCATATCAGATCGACATGAATCCATTAGAAGTGCATACATGAGAAATGAAAGTGGATGACAAGAAAATAATTCAGTGCATGTCTACTACATTAGACACATTGCACAAAATTTTATCAGACGTTTAAAAAACACCGCACTAAAGAAAGATGTTGTAAATATGGATAGTTCCTTTGTTTCAAATTTGTTACAATTTATTCATTATTATTTAACAGATTGCTAATAAATATTTATATTAACTATGTTTTTTTAATATTGTTGTAGCATATGGGATGACTGAAACACGATTCTAATACTATTACAACATTTTGAGACAATGTGACATAGAAGCGACTAATTGGTTGGATGAGATACCTAGAGAAAAATGGGCACTTGCATGGGACAATGGACGGTGTTGGGGCCACATGACGACCAACATAACAGAATCTATCAACTCTATTTTGAAAAAACAAGAAATTTACCCATTTGCTTTATGATCAACGCAATCGACACCTAGTTGCAACAAATTTTTTATTAAAAGAGAGGCGAGATAGATGTCATGAACAATGATGGTCATATTACGAAAATTTTGTCACAAATTTAGAGGAAACACAAACACAAGCGAACACACATATATTCATAACTTATAAATTATAATTATAAAGTTAAAAAAATTATATTTAGAATTATAACCTTAAAAAAATTATAATTATATAATTAATAAAATATATTTATTTTTAATGTTAAATAAATTATATATATTATATAAATTATATATATATATAACATAAATTAAAATTATATACATGTACTTCAAATTAATTATATATATATATTGCATAAATTAGAATAATAATTATAAACTTAAAAATAAATTATATTTAGAATTATAAAAAAAATTATTTATAAAATTAATAAAACAAATATAAAAACTAAAAAAATTAGAAAAATAAGTTCAGAATTCAATTTCCCATAAATGAAAAAATGAAAAAAAAAAAAAGAAATAGTAGTTCAAAATTCGGTTAACGTGAACTATAAATAATATTAGGTGGGTAAATAATGTTGTACATGTGGAAAATGTTTTTTAAAATAATATTATTTATAAAAAAAATTCTCATTATGCACCAAAATACACATAGTAATGATTATCAAGTAAGATTTACTTTTTGTTTTACTTTTTTTTTAAGTACGATAAGGGGTGAGTGACACAAAAGGTATTGCTGAATTGAAAATTTATTTCACTTTTACATATTAATTAAAAAAAACTAATATACTATATAATAATATAATAAATATATTATTCATTATATTATTTTTTAAATTTTAATTCATAAAAATTAAAATAAACATAATATTAATTTTAAAAAATAATTATTATAAAATATCTTATTTTTTTCTTTGATTTTATAATTTTATATTTATCTTTAATATTTATTTTCAATAATGTATGATTTATTAATTACTCCGCGATTTTTTATTTGGAATTAAGTTTAAATCAATTTTAAAAAATAATTAAAACCAAATTTTATCATTGATAATATCCTAAAATTAATAAATAATGTTACATAAAATAAACTAATAATTAAAAATAAATAAAAACATATAAAAAATAAAATTGGATTAGAATGAAGTACTTGAAAATTTATAAATAATTTATTAATTTAAATATTATTAAAATAAATATAATTATTTATATATAAAATTTGATAGAAATAACTGTACAAGAATATTAAATTTTTTAATTAATATTAAAACTTTCAAAAATATTTTTTTTGTAATTCTTTTTATTGACCAACAGTCAATTGTTAACATAATTCATTTTTTTTACAATGATTTAAATCCACGGTTTATCGCTCCTTTCTACTTCCATCACTATATTAGTATTGATATATTAATTTTATTTTAAAATTTATAGTATGATTTTTAAATTAAAACATTTTTATTTTAAAAAGATGTACAGTTAATATCACATTATATATGAGCATAGATCTAAAATTTACCTTTAAAGTTTGTAACAATTAATTAAATTGATTTTTTAATATACTTTTATTACAAAATATGTTGGAATTATTTGCTTACTACCATAATAAACATAGTATTTTCTATAATTTCTCAATACTTTCCATAAATACAAAGAGCAACAATATTTTCATTAAGTTTTTATAAAAGATTTATATAATATTTCTTGAGAGATAAAATTCCTATTTAAAGTCATCTTGATATTCTAAATTTTTTTAGTATTAAAACTCTTCTCATTTAATTGACCATATAAAAGGTAATTAAGACTAATATAAATATTACATGTAAAACCAATGAATTAGTTGTTTTATTAATAATATTTTTTTCACTATAATAGTTATTATTATTATTTATATTGATTAGTTTTTTTTTATAATATTTAGACTAATTATATACGAGTTACACAAAACGGAATTAAGTTGATAGGATGGAACACAAATTTTGCAAGAAAAACTAACCTAAATCTTAAAAATATATATTTTATTCGTTTAAAGTAAAATGAAATAGTTCATCCGAGTTTATCTAAAAATCTCAACTTATTTAAAATACGAGTCAACACAAATTTATTTGGTAATATGTAGTTAGATTAGACACGTCAATCAATTTATTTTCACATATATACTAATTATTTAATTTTAAACATAAAATCATTTTAAAACATGTATAATAGTGAAATAATGTATCAGTTTAGTTATATATATGACAACAATTTAAAATATGAGCATTGTGTTATTATTATTATTATTATGGCGGGTGACACTGGAAGGGATTATAAGGTCTCAAAACCAGCGTTGTGTAGCAGTGTCCTAACATGTTCTTGTTCTTGCAGTATGGAGAGGCATAAGCATTGGTGAATGATGATGGCAATCGATTTTGATTGAGAAGCTTCCATTCACATGAAATCAAGTGGCAAACATGCCTTTCTGCGTCTTCAGCGGAAACCTGTTGGTGTTCATTCATGTAGCAATCAAGGTAAGATCCATCAACTCCCTTCTCATCTCCACTCTGCAATTATGTTATATATAATATTATTCACATATTTACATTACAACATGGCCTGTTTAGAATTAAAATAATAGAATAGATTTCCAAGCATTTTACCTTATAGCTCCTTCCAAATCATCAGAAAGGCGAAGAATTTTCGCCACTGAATGAACAATTTGAGGAAAGTTGTCCATGATAGCAACAGTTTCCATGTTTATAGAGTGATCCAAGAGTAAGAATGCAGGGATAAGCACAACATGCACTCCTGTGCTCACAATTCCATTCTTCAAGTATACCTCTGCCCTTGCCAAATGACCACCATTCAACAGTTGCACCCACTGTTTCATATAAACACCTTACCATCGCACTTATTGGTGCTTCACAATAATATCTATGAAACGAAAATAGTAAGAAAATATCAATCAGCATGCAGAGGGAATAGAGCATGGTTCCCCTATGTCAACGTGCAAAATATGAAAGGTTTGTCAACATAGGTAGTACTATTAAAAGAGGGAAGTTTTTTTTATTAAGAAAGTGACAAGCAGCACAGTTATCAATCTTAGTCTTATGAATATAAGGGTATTTTTTAGGGTTTAGAAACAGTCAACCTATTATCAGACAAGTGTTCTATCGTGCCACACAAATTTACCGTTTACACTGTTACAGCTTTATCAGTAAAACCAGCAAGATTCTTTGGACTGTTAAACACATAAAGGCCACCACTAGCAATAGCTATATCAATCTTTTAGGTAAATGTTAAATACATGTAATTGAGAGGTAGTAGTTGAGAGGTAGTAGTTATATTGAATGTATGTAGTTAAGAGATAGTGGTTGTATTGAATATATGTAGTTGAAAGATAATAGTTGTATTAAATGCATGTAGTTGAGAGGCTATATCCAAAGGCCTATAAATTGACCATATATCACTCATTGCAAACACATCAAGTGATAATATACAGAGTGCTTTATTTAGATACTTGTTTGTCAACAAATTGGTATCAGAGCTTGAGAGCTTGAGAGCCTGAGTGTCTGAGTGCGTTAGAGAGAGTGTTTGAGAGTTAGAGAGTTTGTTTGAGATGACCAACTTAGCTAACAGCATGCCCCTGCCAAAGTTATCGAAAGGCATAAGCTATGATAACTGTAACCTGCAAATGAAGGCTCTCCTTGGTTCTCAGGAAGTATGGGATGTGGTCGAAAATGGGCACCAAGAACCAGAGAATATTGAAGAGCAGATAATTGCCCAGCTTGCTGCATTGAGAGCAACACGAGTAAAGGACAAAACGGCTTTGTACGTGCTGTACCGAGCTGTTGATGAGTCCGGGTTTGAGAAGATAGCAAATGCTAAATCTTCAAAAGAAGCGTGGGATATTATGGAGAAGTCATATAAAGGGGATAATCGCGTGAAACAAGTCAGGCTTCAAACTCTTAGAGGCGAGCTTGAAAGCATGAGGATGAAAGAGGTCGAAGGGGTTGCCGAGTACATCTCCCGTGTTGAGACCGTGGTGAATCAACTCGGAAGAAATGGAGAGACGCTGCCCACTTGCCGAGTGGTAGAGAAAATCTTAAGGTCATTAACTGACGACTTTGAGAATATCGTTTGTGCAATAGAAGAGTCCAAGGACTTGTCGGTGCTCTCAGTGGAAGAGTTTGTCGGGTCGCTTGAAGCGCATGAGCAGCGGAGAAGGAAGAAGAAAGAGGAGTCCCTTGATCAAGCACTCCAAGCAAAGGCAACCTTAAAGGAGAAGAAGGTTCCTTATGCTCAGAACACTCAAGGCCGAGGTGCTAGAGGCAGAGGAGAATATGAAAGAGGCAAGGAGTCAGTCAGTCAACAAAACTGGCGTGGCCGAAGACAAGGTAGAGGTCGTGACGATAGAGGCCGAGGTGGTCAGTCAAGCAATTCCAGAGTTGAGTGTTTCAAATGTGGGAAGTACGATCATTTTGCTAATGACTGTTATTCAGGTATCAAATGTTATAATTGTGGAAAGGTTGGGCATTTCGCGAAGGACTGCCGATCTGAGAGGAAGAAGGAGACAAACCTCCTCTCTGAAGACACTGAGGAAGAAGGAGTATTGATGATGTTGAGAAGTTCGGATGTCGAGCTAAGTCCGAGCTGTTCTGACAACTCGGTTTGGTATCTTGATACAGGAGCAAGTAACCACATGTGCGGGGACAAGAACCTTTTCAAGGAGCTCACTAAAGTTGAAATCGGACACGTATCATTTGGAGATGCATCAAAGGTGGCGGTAAAAGGCAGAGGTACAATCTGGTACCTGCAGAAGAATAGCCGAGTTGGAGAAATCAGAGACGTATACTATGTACCCGATCTCAAAAGCAACATATTGAGCTTGGGTCAGCTGATGGAGAAAGGCTACTTGGTTCTGATGAAAGACCGAGAAGATCGAGTACTATATCTGAAGGACAAGTCAGATCGTTTGATTGCCCGAGTTGAAATGAAGAAGAATAGAATGTACAAGCTGGACTTGAAGATAGTCCAAGAGAGGTACTTGAAACTTGACGTGAAGGATGAAGCAATGATGTGACACTTTCGGTTTGACCACTTGCATTTTGGCGGGCTGACCGAGTTGGTAAAGAAAGAGATGGTGCGAGGACTCCCGTATATGAAATTTGAAAAGAAATTTTGTGAAGAGTGTGTGCTCAGGAAGCATCTGAGGACCTCATTTCCGAGGATGGCCGAGTACCGTGCAAAGAAACAACTCAGATTGATTCACATAGATCTTTGTGGATTGGTTACCCCTGAGTCCTTCAGTGGGAAAAGGTATTTCATTTCTTTTATAGATGATTTTTCAAGAAAAACCTGGGTATACTTTTTGAAGGAGAAATCCGAGGTGTTTGAGGTGTTCAAGATATTTAAAGCAATGGTTGAGAAAGAAACTGGCATGCCTATCAAATCTGTTAGGTCTGATCGAGGAGGCGAGTTCATTTCATCCGAACTCATGAAGTATTGCGAGGAGCAAGGGATAAGGAGATTTCTGACAGCACCATACTCACCCCAACAAAACGGAGTTGTCGAGAGGAAGAATCGAACCATTCTTGACATGGTTCGAACAATGTTGAGAAGCAAAAACGTGTCAAAGGAGTTCTGGGCAAAAGTAGTGCAATGTGTCATCTATGTGCAAAATAGATGTCCACATGCTAAGATGAACGAGAAGACACCGCAAGAAGTCTGGAGTGGAAGAAAACCGAGTGTGTCTCACCTTAAAGTGTTCGGTAGCATAGCTTATGGTCATGTTCCAGCTCAACAGATGACCAAGCTCGAAGATAGAAGCAAAAAGTACGTGTTTATTGGGTATGATGAAAAAACCAAGGCGTACATGTTGTTTAACCCAATAACTAAGAAGGTCATCATGAGCCGAGATGTTCAAATTGATGAAGAAAGCGAGTGGAGTTGGAACAACCCGGAGTAGGAGTCCATAGGAAGTAGAAGCTTAGAAGTTGATACACCACATACTGTGAGAGATCATGAGACTTCTGATGAAGAAGATGAACCTCTACAACCCAGAGCGCGAAGTTTACAAGATATATACAACTCCACTGTCGAAGTGCATGTTGTATGTCTCTTGGCAGATTCCGAAGACTTAAGTTTTGAAGAAGCTGTGCAGGAGAAAAGGTGAAAAAATGCAATGGACGAGGAGATCGGGGCAATAGAATGCAACAACACATGGGAGCTGACTGATTTGCCCAAAGGAGCGCGGCCTATCGGCGTAAAGTGGGTGTACAAGAAGAAGACAAATGTTGAAGGAGAAGTTGAGCAATATAAAGCTCGACTCATAGTGAAGGGGTACAAGCAGAAGGAAGGAATAGACTATGACAAAGTATTCGCCCCAGTGACGAGAATGGAAATAATTAGGCTGCTGATTTCCTTAGCAGCTCAACACAAATGGACAATCTTGCAGATGGACGTGAAGTCGGCATTTCTAAATGGAATCTTGGAGGAGGAAGTATATGTTGAACAACCACTCGGATACATGCGAAGAGGCAAAGAGAAGAAAGTGTTGAGATTGAAGAAGGCACTTTATGGCTTGAAACAAGCTCCACGAGCATGGAATGAAAGAATTGACACTTACTTCAAAAGGAATGGATATGAGCAGTGTCCTTATGAACATGCTCTATACATAAAGAAGAAAGGAGAAGATGTGATGTTTGTTGCCCTATATGTTGATGACCTTATCTTCATGGGGAATAATGCCGAGCTGATTGAAGAGTTTAAAGAAGTGATGAAGAAAGAGTTTGAGATGACTGACTTGGGTCTTATGAAGTATTTCCTTAGTTTTTAAGTTGTTCAAGGAAAGAATGACATCTTTGTATCGCAGGAAAGGTATGTTGAGGAGATCTTGAAGAAGTTTAAGATGACAAGTTGCAACCTGATTTCCACCCCTATGGAACCTGGTACAAAACTTTCTAAGTATGCAGATGGAGACCGAGTTGATGCGAGCAAATACCGAAGTCCGATTGGAAGTCTTAGGTATCTTACAAATACCAGACCAGATTTAATGTTAAGTGTTGGAATAGCAAGTCAATATATGGAGGAGCCAAGGTATACTCATTGGAAGACACTAAAGAGAATTCTAAGGTATGTGAGAGGAACAATGTCACTTGGCCTAATGTATACTAGGACGGATGATTATCGACTAGTAGGCTACTCGGATAGTGACTGGTGTGGAGATGTTGATGACCGGAAAAGCACGTCTGGATATGTATTCTTCATGGGAAACACAACATTCACCTGACTTTCAAAAAAGCAGCTCATTGTAACGTTGTCAACTTGTGAAGCCGAGTACGTTGCAGCATCCTGGAGTGTCTGTCATGCAGTTTGGCTTATAAACTTTCTAAGCAAGCTGGAGTTGAAGCAAGAAAAAGGGACTGTGATTCGAGTTGATAACAAGTCGGTCATTGAATTGGCAAAGAACCCGATCAATCATGAGAGAAGCAAACATATTGATGTTCGGTTTCACTTCATCCGAGAACAAGTGAAAGAATAAAATGTGAAGTTAGAGCACGTTGGAACCCGAGCACAAGCTGCAGATATGTTCACGAAGTCACTATCAACCACTCTGTTTGAGAACAACAAGAAGATGCTTGGAATGAAGGACAAGAAAAACATTTAAGTTTATGGGGGGATTTTGTTAGGTAAACCTTAAATGAATGTAGTTGAGAGGTAGTAGTTATATTGAATGTATGTAGTTGAGAGATAGTGGTTGTATTGAATATATGTAGTTGAAAGATATTAGTTGTATTAAATGAATGTAGTTGAGAGGCCATTTACAAAGGTCTATAAATTGACCATGTATCACTCATTGTAAACACATCAAGTGATAATATACAGAGT